CATGCTTAATGATCCGTTTCAACGTTATGTCAAATTAACGTTTCTGAAGTGCCAATCCAAGCAGTCAACAGTCTGTGTGTATGATTCTATAGTGGCCAGTTGAACCATCATAATAACACATGTAAGCCAACCACTTAAATTACATCAGTCTAATGACAATTATTATATCCTTTGACAGTTACTGTACGAGCGATGGAACTTGGGCGTGCACAAAGATTCTGTGTGGGGATACAGGTACGTTTTATTTAACAAGTTATATTGTTAAGTTCTAGATATTCGGACCAAAGCAAACGACAAAATTGCCCGAGTCACAATTTTCTACATTTAATACAACTACGTATCTCAGAAAGCAGATGGGAATTTTGAATTGCCTTAAGTTAAACTTGGAAACTACTGTAAAACAATTCATGTGAAGCAAGTTTGGAAATCTCGTTTTATTCATGAAATATACCATGTATATGGATGTTATTGACAATAAAGGTAATTATTACATCCATAAAATATTATAAAATTAAAATAATTCATTTCATTTTCTTTACAGTTATCGAGGCAGTCGAGCTCGAGGCTACCGCTGAAAGACTGACAATAGGCTGAGATAACACTTCATTGAATTCATCTATTTAACTCATCCTTTAATCGGCAAACCCCCTCTTGGCAAATAAACTATACGATCAATAACTATGGCTGGTTACGACAGCTAATTAATATTCAATAATTGTTCCTTCGAATTTATTCAAATAAACTCGGCCTGTAAATAATGTTGTTGTTGCTGTTGTTTTCGCACTTTTCGGACGACAACAATATGACCACCATTGAAGTAAAGTTAAAACATACCCATTGGCAGACTATTCAACACACAACAGGGTAAATTAACAATTACTGTATACAACAAAAAGGTGATACGAAAACATTGAGCACGTGTCATTCTGGGTAATAATTGCCTTGTTAAGAAGACACTTGCATCAATCAGACAAGTGATATTGATGTTATCTGAGATTCATATTTGACTACGCGCTAATTACGTCTGCAAAAAAACAACTTTTCAAATGTTAAGGTTAGTCTTTCTCTGGTAAAATCTTGGTTTAATTTTTTAGATGAAAAAAATACAATATCCCTTTAAACAATGAATGTGTAAGCACATCGAATGTGTTGCGAATGCATATCGCATTGTTAGTGGAGTACCAAATTTATTTCTTTGACATGTGATTAATATGGCATATACTCTTTTCGACAACCGAATTCAGTATGGCTTAGCTATACCCATTTGCATTGACAATATAGTTAGCAAGATCATCTTGGTGACAATAATCTGCATTGCCATCACGTAATTCATATAGAAAGGCAAACATACTAATCATAATCCACTGTCAACCAACATATCCATAAATCCATTCATGCTCTGCCGACATCCTACGAACATTCTACTGCCCCTCTCTGACTTTATTACACATCACTACACCAACTACAACAACAGCTGGTTTATTATTCACTTTCCTGCAATATGTAAAGATCACCTTTGAAACGACGCCCGCTATATTGGGAGGGAGAACGACATTTATTGTACCAACAACCTCCCTCCAACTTTGTATTTTTTTAATATTTTGATGTTAGATAACTCATATGGTACCTTCTGCATTATTTCTTGTTTTAGGTCATCATGAATTGTGGAAACATTTACAAATAATTGTTAGCTCTTGTCGTGTTAAACGTACATGTTTCCCGCCACACCGTACGTAAACTGGTTCCTGTCGGGACGATTTTTAAAAAAATTGTGTGATTTTAGATTGAAAAAAAATATTTTATCCACTCGAAGTCACCCTGACTGATGGCGTCCGCCCTCTATCAGAATCATAAAAAAACGATGTTTTTTAGCGTGTACTGTTAATGCTAGTACGGTAGTGAGTAGTTTTCTCTTAACCTATCAGAGGGCGGTATGATTTGCGGCAGTGTAGCGTAAGAGGCAAGTAGCTCTCCATCCATATATACTACAAGCAGACGAAGAGATCGTTGAATAGTTCCCGAAATATTATGAAGTCTTGCATATAACGGCATTAGAAATAACTAGAAACAAATATTTGACGGGTATATTTCCAGCCGCGATGAGAAACAATCGCGAGAAGTTGCGCCATTTTT